GCGATATGCTGACTCTGTAAACTGCTTAGAGAGGGCTGAAAGCCCTATGAAGCGGTATATAAGTCTAATTGCTATTGCTATCAAGGAAAGAGGCCTAGACAGTTCCAGATTCCCTTTTGGGTTCTGGCTTAACAGAATAATAGCACTAAAATTCCTCTCTTTTTTTTTGCTACCACTAAACCATCAAAATTTATCTTCTTTTAAACTACAGCAGGAGTGGTTGTGGCTTTTTCTGAAGCAGCCAATGTGGTTCTTTTGCCCTGATCATTGTATCTGTTGTGATTATTTTTCCTTTCATGCTGTTTTTCTACATATCGCCTAGGGGATCGACCGCTCTCACTCTTGGGTCAACTCTGCCTATGCCCCCGGAGGCCCCAAGTCCGTGTTTCGCAGGAACCATCCGAACTCCAGCACGGACCTGAAGCAGGTGCCTTTCCTCTCCCTTCAATTGTGCTTGTAGCTTCTTCCTTTGGCTTGTCCAAGTCCATCTGCAGTCGCGGCCAGGTTCAGATGGAGAATAAAGCCTCCCAAAGGGCTGAAGAGGGAGGCTGCTGAGCCCTTTCCCTGGCCATCCACTGTATTTTCACAGTGAATGAGTTTTCCTTATTGAACATTCCAATGTTCTCCTCTTTCCCTGTGCCACACTGGAAGTTTAATGGGATGCAGAGTAACATGGCATGCCTTCTAGAAAAAAGAGCAGTGGCATGACGGGATACACGCAAAGTTTTCTTGCTAGGACAGAGCATGCTGTCTTTTTTATTCTGGAAGCACTTGAGCTGGGCTCAGAGAAAGAACTTGTCCGTAATGGCATTTGGGAAATCTTGAATACTTCCATTGATAATTTAGATTTGTGCTTACTGATTTGTGCTTGCTGTACATTCTGGTTCCCAGCATCAGCATGGCCAGGCTATTTGATGCTTGCTGCAGGTAGCCAGATGAATACGAAGGGATGCTGGTAGGCAAAGGCAGAATTTTCTTTTCTTATTTTCTTCCCCAAAAACTACTCTGCGTCTTATAGTCCAAAAAGTAGGTAATACTTAATTCAAACTTTCTGAGTTCTCAAGATATCAAGACAGATTGTGGCTGTGCAATTCATTCCTTTATCCTTTGCTGCTTGCCTAGCCAATAAGAGGCTCCTAATTTTACCTGTGCTTTTTGGTCAAGTCCTTTTTCTACACTGAATGTAGAAGCGTTTGGGCTTCAACCCCCAAGCTGCAATCATAGATGGGTGGTAGATGTTGGTTTGGTTACTGCTCTTAGCCAGTTAGGAAAAGCTGAGTTTTCTGTTTTAACTTTGATTATAACATTGTTCTCTGAGCATTTGCTGTAGCCCTGGAAAGAAATGGTTAATTCTTTTGATTCTTCGAGGAATCCGAGGAAAGAAGGCATTGATGTTATTTGTTGAAAACGTCCTTAATAGGTTGTCTTCCCGAAATATTTTATTTTATTTCACATCCCAAATTCCTACTCAGCATAGTGAAGGCTGCTATTGTGAGGTGTACGTCCTAAATATGGTGGGGTGGAGAGTGGGATTCTTGTCCTTCAGGAAAAGATAACACTCTACTAAACATACTTGCTCTGTGAGCAATGTAAATCTCCTGCTTTCACTGAAGTGCACATATATATTTGGAGGTGTGTGTGTGTGTGTGTGTGTGTGTGTGTGTTTGTGTGTACATGTCTGTGCACTTGCTGAAGAACCACAAGTTTGAATTGTAATTCTGATACAAGATGCTTTGTTTTCTAGATTTCATTACATAGGACAGTATTTGAGGTATATAACAAGAGTTATATTTTTTGAGTTCAGTTTTTTTTCATACGTTCTTCTTGAATTTGACTAACAGATCTATAAAATTTGACTAGTTTGCAGATCAGGAGTGAAGTTCCTGTAACCATAAAGAGGTGAATTTACAATTGCAAATTTACCTCTTTATGGTTACAACATAACTCTCTTCTTTCTATAATTTATCCTATTCAACATATTGAAGAGCACTGGGCCTAAAACAGAACTTTGTGGTAGTCCCCTGCTTACTTCTCTCCATGTAGATGTTACACCGTTAACGACAACTCATTGAGTAAGGTTTATCAGCCAGTTACAAATCCACCTGGTGGTGATGCTGTCTATCTCACATTTTTCTAGCATACCAAGAAGTGAGCGGGGTCTTCTTTGTTGAATCCTTTGCTGAAGTCTACATATACTCCGTCCACTGCATTTCACTTTTAGTAGACTAAATTAGTCTACTAATATAATCACTTGGTCGAAGAATGAAAAAAGATTGGTTTGGCATGGTCTGTTTTTAACAAGCCCATGCTGACTTTTAGTTATAACTTTATTTGTTTCTAGACGTTCTAGATTTTTTTTAATCTTATCTTTTACAGTATCTTCCCAGGTATTGATGTTAGGCTGATTGGTTTCCTGGGTCTGTTTTTCTTTTTCTTTTCTGAAGATGGAGGCCACATCAAGTCTTTTCTAGCCCACTGGTAGTTCCCCCAGTGTTCCAGGATTTTTGAAAGACATGGTACAATATTTCTGAGATGACATCTACTAGCTCTTTCAGAAATCTGGGATGTAAACCATCAGGTCCGGGGATTTATAATTGTCAAGATCAAATAGGTGTTCTCTAACCATTTTCTTGTTTATTTTAATTTTTATTTCTAGTCAATTTTTTTACAGTTATGTTTTTGGTAAGTTGGGCCGTCGTTTCCTTTTGCGTGAAGACTGATGCAAAGTGTGTGTTAAAGCAGCTCTGCTTTCTCTCTACTGACTGTTACTTCCTTGTCATCTTTTCTCTTAAGTGGATTTGCTGTTTCCTTGACTTCTTTCTTGTTATTTATATGTTTATAAATATAAATTAAATTTAAATTAAGAAGTCTATAAGGTATTTCCAATCAACAATAAACATAGTTACTGACTTTTCTCTGATCAAAATAGTCACCAATTAGGAGTGAGGTTGATGGGCGATTTTCTAAGGCTCGTGGCAAGGTAGAAGTTTAAGGATAATAACTAACACCCCAGATAAATCATAACATGTTATTTAAAACACGGAATCAAAAATGAGATCTGCTTTTGATCAAATACAGTTATATATTCAAGTCACGGTTGGTGTGGATCTGTGTGTTTGAAAAACAGAGAGAGAGAAAGAGTTGGAAAAATATTTTGAAAATATTGAACTTATCTTTGCGAACTGCTATAAATTTCAGAAGTTATGATTTCTTTGCCATTGCATGATTGCCATTGTGCTGGTTTTCTTACTGTCTTTTCATTCTTGCTCATACTATTTACTTTAAACAAGCCATGGTTTCATCCACAAGAGTAAACAGTTAAATTTTCTAAGCTGGCGAGTTAATCATTCCCAGTGATTTATTTGCATAACTTTTAATTTCGTAAAACACATTATTATTTTTTTGCTCCGTTGGACAGCTTTACAGCTTCTACCATTTCAAGCACAGTGTTGACTCTTGGAACTCATTTACGATGTGAATGAACCTTGAGCTTGAAAGTTCCTCTTGTCCTCTGCCCTTGAAAGTGAAAATTTTCTTTTTTAAAATATTAAGGTACCACAGTTTTAGCTTATTTCCAAACCCGGACGAATTGTACCAGTCAAAGGTGGTGTTATGAAACAAGCCAGCTTAAAACCATGATTTTGTTAGCTTATTTCAGTCTGCAGTTAAAATGAACAGGCATTTAAATTTCATATATAATGCTAAATTAACTGTTTGGTAACAGGAACAATGCTATTGACCTTTTCTTTACAGTCACTGGAATTTAAGAAGCGAAGCGTGTAATACTAAACCATAGTTAGTTCTATATCCAAACTAAGCCTCGGCATAGTTAGATTATGATTATATATTTGTAATGCTGGCGCAGAAGCAAAGACAGACTCTACTGCCCATCCTGTCCACCTCCCAGATTGTGCTGTTCAGATTTGAGATGCAAACATATACAGTAAGAGAGATTGGAGCCGAGGGTTCCTTTTTCCCTAATCCCAAATAGGTAAATGGACCAAAAATAAGCAGAGTTCCTGCCATTATAATGCCTTTTCTCAGTCATCTCCATTGCAGCACAATGGATAAACAGAGTTTCTGCATATGGGGAAGATGAATCTGATAGCAATAGCAGTTCGACTTATATACCGCTTCATAGGGCTTTCAGCCCTCTCTAAGCGGTTTACAGAGTCAGCATATTGCCCCCAACAACAATCCGGGTCCTCATTTTACCCACCTCGGAAGGATGGAAGGCTGAGTCAACCCTGAGCCGGTGAGATTTGAACAGCTGAACTGCAGAACTGCAGTCAGCTGAAGTAACCTGCAGTGCTGCATTTAACCACTGCGCCACCTCGGCTCTTCTATGATGCCAGGACAACTGTAAGATAGACCAGTTTTAGAGGTGGGCAAAGGCAGTGCTGCCCTAAAAGAAAAGAAAAAGGAAAATATCAGCTTCACCCATTTACGCTAACTTTGCAGTAAGTCCCTTTGAGTTGTTTGACCATCTTGAAGCAGCTTCAGAATGAGTAAGTCCCCCAGTTCTTATAACTTTCTGCTTCCTGGCAAAATGCAGCTGGCTTTCGAATTCTAAGCAGCTTTTCCTCAGGTAAGGAAGTTAGGTTCTTTTTCCTTAACCATCATTTCACCATTTCTTCCATTCTGGGTAACACCTCTTCACCATCGCTGTTTCCTCTCTCTTTTTTCTCTCCTGCTGCTCCTCCTCCTCTCACAGGCTGCAGAGTGTGCACCTAATCGTATCTCCTCCTATCTCGAGGGCTCCACTTTTGTGCCGGCAGCTCCGATGAGACCAGCCACCAAAAAGGTAGAGAAGGATTGTTAACCCTGAAATGTTCTCTGTCACACACCGAAATTTGAATTTGAATTTGAATTTAAAGTTTATTTATATGCCGCCCTTTTCCCTGGGGGGACTCAGGGCGGCTTACAACTTAAAAAGGGGGGGGGACGACAAACTTTTAACATATAAGACAAATACATAATTAAAACACAACATTCATACTATTCGGGCGGGTTGTAGTCTTAACCCCAGGCCTGACGGGATAGCCAGGTTCTGAGGGCTGTGCGGAAGGTCTGGAGGGTGGTGAGGGTACGAATTTCCACGGGGAGATCGTTCCACAGGGTCGGAGCTGCCACCGAGAAGGCTCTCCTCCGCATAGTTGCCAGTCGACATACGAAATGTTGATCCTCGGCACCCTTGGGAGGGAGACGCAGTGAGGCAAGCTTAGAATTTAGCCAAAAGACATTTTAATCAGAAACTCTGTTGAAAACTGAAAGTAATAATATGATATTACAGGAATGAAGGCATGGAATGGGGTAACATAAGCTCTGCAGATTGGCATAGCTTTGGCTGATGCTCATCTTTCCTTTGGTCGGGAATATTCCAGAACCTGCTGACTGCAAGAACCCAACAACGCTACAGTAGTAAATTATGATCAGCCGATCCCTTGTAGTAGTTCAGTTTCCTGGGTCCTTCTGTTTTCACTCTTCACTTCTGTTCTAACTGAAGATCATGTTGGACTTTCCCACTTCCTCCTTGACTTATGACTTTGGTTTTTCCATACGTGATATGTAACACCTCAGACTTTCTTCTCAAGCCAATCTTCTCAATTGCTCTTGGAGTCCCGAAAATTTACCAGGAAAGTGTGTGTAGACATGGCTATTTGACTTAAGCTGCCTGAAGTAGGAGCTCTTGCAAGTTGGAGCTTGGAGAGGGAGAACCACTACCATTTGTTGGCTACTTCAGTCAGTGTACTGTGATTGAAGATGGTTTTTTCCCTTTTATCTCCTTGGTGGATGAGTAATGGCTGACCTTTTTCAATTAAAAAAGCCAGCAGAGAAGGAAGCACTTCTGGAAGCATATCTGTTTCCAAGTGTGCAACTGGTTCTGGTGGATAGACGCTGCTGTTATCTCTAGATACAGTATTTAGAGAACTCAAAAATGCAAAATTATAGTCCAGCCGTGCCACGTAGACTCAGTAATATTAGTATGCATGTCCCAAATGCTTGGAATTTCAGCCCAAGTTGTTTAAGGCATTTTCTTTACAGATTGGAATGTATTGTATCGTTTTAAAGCATTTGGTACCCAGCCATGAATGTAGATCAGGCAGGTCGTGATGGATAATTTGGACAATGCCTATGTAATTTGATAGGGGGATAACAATGCCACAAAAATCTGATATTTTCTATCAATCTAGCTGGCTTTCAGAGAGTTGTCTCTTCTTGTGGGTCTTGCAGTAGGAAACAGAAAGCCATGGGGCCACAATGTTATAATTTGAGTTAGAGGGTATTTCCAGATAAGATTTTTATTTTATGATGGATCAGTGTTATTTACAGACTTTTGTGCAAGGAGTCCAGACACCCTCATCCGGTGTAGTTCTCCCAGATTTACGCTAGTCTCACCACTCTTCCTGTTACATTTCTTCTGTGGAAAATCTGTTCCGGGGGCGACCGGGGGGGGGGGACGGGACCAGTAGAGTTGCAGTATGCCTTTTGCTTTACAGTAGAGTACTAGGAGTTTGTGGGAAAACAGAAATAGGGATGATTCTGAATAGTTCAGTACAGCATGCCATGACCTCTGTTCTTTGTAACTCTCTTCTTGCTGTCTGGGCCTGCAGCTACTTCATGAAGAACTGATCCTCCAGTGGGTGGTGAGCACCAGTTCTGTGCGGGAAGCTGCTTTGCATCAATCCTGGTTCTTCTTCCAGCTGATGGTATGTTCAGACTGCCAGTCTTTAGCGTCAGAAACATTGGATTCTCTTCACTTGTTTACTTAAAAAAAATAAGCAATCTTCTTGCTGTCAATGAAGAAATTTTTGTTTTGTACAATACAAAGGTTTCCAACTCCCTGCTTTGTCCTTCTGTGTATTTAGATNGTGTGGAGGTAATTGGCAGTAGGCGGTCTCTCAAGTATCCTTCAAAAACACAGGAAAATCATCTCTAATCATTAAAGGAAGAAACTATTCTTGTAAGCTCTGCCATCTTCATCCATGGATTCAATCTATACCCATTTTATAGAACCTTGACTTTCAGGAAGATTCCCTCCACCTTTCAATAGCATCTGTCCTTTTAAATAGTATCTGCATCATTAAATAACATCTGACTTTTCTGCAAATATAACCCTCACCCCCTCCATACTTTAAAGATAGGAAGTGAATGGGATGATCTTCTTCCCATAACAGTGAACTCCCTATTTAGGGAACCTTTATATGACAGACTTTTGAGCAAGGAAACAAATTTTCACAATTAAACACAAATGGCAGAAATACAGTTGTTTGCATTAATTATTATTCAAATGATGGTAATGGATGCAAATAGCATCAATAACATCCTTTGCATATGGTGTCACACACACACACCCATATAATATAAATCACTGCAATGCACATACATTTTATTTAATGGGCCTTCATGAATAAATTCCTATTCTCAATTTGTCTATTAAAATAAGATTTCACTGTACATTTTCCCTTCACCTTTTCATTTTCATTTCTTACTTTAATTGTGAGCATAACACTTTTCTACAGTTTTCATTTGGTTATCTTTTTGCTTAACAAACAACAATAACAATGCAAATCATATGAATTATAATGAATGGATTATGTGTGGATTATGAGTGGAGTAGCTGCTAAACTTTTTTTTTCCTCTGAAATTTGGGAACATTCACCACATAATTCTACATTTTTTGAAACAGAGAACAAATATTGCCTGTGTATAATTATATTTTTTGCTGCATATATTCAAAGTTGTCCTGGTTTTAGGGGAAAACAAATCCCAGAGGATGAAAAATGATCTCTACATTTTAATAGAATGAATTAATGAATGAATTAAGTTAGATATTCACTTCATCCAAACTGAAGGCTGGCAAATATGTAAATTTGTAACACATCAAAAATAAATAAATGAACATTTTAATAAACACCTTAAATATCTATTTATTAACAGTGAATCAATACTACATTGATTTGCCCCAGACATTAAATCTTTATATAAGTGTAGAATAATTATTTTAATCTGGGGACCTTGTTTTCTTTGGTCCCTGATTTTCAATAGAACCTCTACATCACCTTTAGGTTTTCCAGTTAATCAAACTGTATTGAAGGCTGAGAGACAAAGACTTACATATGTTTCCATACCTATTTATGCTTAATGCCTAATTGAGCTTAGTATTTGCTTTTAATCTTAGCAATGCACAATTTCCCTTAATGGAGTCTAACACATTTTGATGCTTGTGGCAAGGCACATCCCTGGGAAAATCTCAGATGCTTTAATGTGTTGCAGGCAGGTGCTACATTCACATTTCCATGTGTGCCAAACCTTTTGGAGTCTGAATCTGAAGCCCTAATAAATAGCTCCCAAGCCCTCCTTTGAAACTGAGCACTCCTAATATTTATAACATATATTATATTCCCTTGGTCTACAGGTTATAAAGAAGGCTTTACAGTGACATGTAAAGCTGTTATTAAAAGCATATATTATATTCATCAGTCTCTTAATGTGCTGATGCTGGTATTCAGGATTTTAGGACCTTGCTTTTGCTTGTGATATGCACAGGGAGGATCAACATAGCATAATCCCAACAAAATAAATGTAAAATTAATAATAATAAAGTGCCTAGCCTGTACTTTACTAAGTTACAGGCTATAATATTTCACATTGGAAGTAACTCTAAAATTATGTGTTTTATTAAGATAAAATCAGGTGTATTTTGGTACATTTTTTCTTCAAAATGTACATTTAAATAAATTATGTAAACATTTAAAAAAAATTAAATGTAGCATTTAAATAAATATTTGGGTGAAACGTTATAGCACCTCTACACCTTATGTGTCTGCTTTTGATAAAGACAGTTTTGATTGTCTTTTATCTGCTTCACTGTCATGGTTTTATGAAGTGGATTTTATTACTTAAAACGTTACAGGCTTTACCTACATATTGTAGTTAATTATACCAAACATTATAATCATCTCACAGTTCTCTCTATATTGGTGACTCTGGGATTTTATCATGTGGAATTTAATGAATGCTTTCATTATATCATATTCTCAGCACACCTTTACTCATCAAATTACCAGACTTTTTACAAATGTAAGTTTTAGAGGTTTAGGATGGTAAATATTCAAAATTCTTCATATTTTTCCTGCTGTTATTGACAATGAGATAGAGCTCAAAGCCAAACTTAATGGAATATTAACATGCAGTATGCGTGGCTTCAAAGCTAAATGGTTGATGCAGGAGATCCAACCTATACTGAGACTGGCACTGTCAGCATGGACCCATGCTGTAGTCTCAGCCTTCCTCTGGTATCCTCTCCTATTTGAGCTGTGGAAAATTATTAAGCAATTTTACTCTATTATAAATGCACAATAAGACTGAAATTAAAATACTGCTTACTATTCTGATCAGCTTGCATACCAAAAAAACATATTGTAGAGTTGGCAAGACCACAAAGAAAAAGGGGAACAATCAGAATAACTATGAGGTAAGGAAAGACTGTACTGATTATAACTTTCATACGCAGGTAATTTAAACCTGGGATGGGATTTTCTCAAGACAGGGAATCGTGGTGTCATCCAATCCAATATCCTGATTCCTGAAATTCATGTCAGACCTAACCTGGGACCTTCAAAAATTTATTAAGAGAGGTTCTTAAGAGAGTCTTTGATTTCTATCTGTCATCTTATGTTTACTGCTTTATGGTTGGCTGTTTTATTATTTTAAATTTGGCTTAATTTGAGGAAAATGTTTATTGTTTACCATTATATAATTGTTATGGAATTGTTACTTTACATATTGTTAGGATTGTAACCTGCTGCTTTCTTTCATTTGCAGTAGCAAAAAAAAATCATTATATAAAGATGAAATCTAGATAGATAACTGTCTCTTCCTAAATACTAAATACAAAGAAGTCAGCATTCATGAACATAAAGCACAGTTTAATTATGGAATTTGCTTTCCTCAGCTACATCAATGTCCACCAAATGAGTAAAATTCAAAACAAAACTGGAGAAATTCAAGGAGTATTAGACGAATAAGCACTATTAGTCTTGGTACTTATTTACTAGTTCCTGGAGCACAACCATCAAGATGTAAATGCAGATGCAGCAAACAACAGCATAAAACCACTTCTACCAACTTCACCATCCTTATGAGTTAAATTATGATTGTAAAGGGGGAATGGTTCTTTGGCCCAAAATAGAAGAGCTCTAATATCATAGCAAATAAAATATATTTCAATGCAAATACATAAGGATGGTGATCAAAGTAGCATGTTGATTAGTTTGCTCTTCCCTGGTTCATTGATGATTAGCAGCTCTTGATTCATAAACTTACTGTGTTAAATAGTATTTTTGTTGATTTGCATTGATGGGTTCCGAATCCTGTTGCAACCAGTACACTGCAACAGGGCCCAGCCTTGACCATGAAATGTGCACAGCATGCATGTAGCACGTACCTGCATACTTACCGCCTGTGATGCTCCAGCTGCTCGGCGGAGCGTCATGAGGCACCGTATGCTCCATGCATGTAAGCCCCGATTGGCTCAAATAGCAGTAAGGAGAGCGGTGGGCGTGTGGGTCCTCCGGAGCACCATAGCGGACCGGTACCTGGTGCTCCCAGCAGGCATCAGTATGCCCGTACCGGGGCCGTTCTGGTAGTATCCCACCACTGTTGGACACCCAGATTTATGTGTTTAAGATGACCAGCAATACAGTTTTTAAACTAAATCAATCCATATATTGTTGTATCCATCCATTAGGTTAAGGTATGTATTTTTTAAAATCATACCTTGTTGTGTGATAGTATGGTTCTTAAAACTTTTAAGATGGAAAACATAAATTCTAATATCAAATAAAAGACCAAATGCCAAGAGATTGTTTTTTGTTAACTTGTAAATGAATTAAGCCATCCATAAGATAGTATATAGTATTATGCTTTGAAAATAAAAAAGAAATGTTTCTCTCTCCCTCCCTCCCTTCCTTCTGCCCCATAAGTGAGAATTTTGGAGGTAAATCAGTGAACATATTCCTAAAAACATAGAATATTATCCATGAAAAATGATAGCATACCTACATTGGATTTAATTGCAGTCTTTACTGTAATAAATAAAAATGTGAAACACTGAAAAAAACCCTCTGGTTTTTGAAGTATGAATTGAAGTAGTCATTTTGCATACTTAAAAATACTACAAAACCCAAGAATACCATCATGATTATGTGCTATAAAGTAGATGTCAACTTTTGGTGATCAGATAGATTTCCTCCATGACAATCTTTCCCAATTGTGCCCTTTCTGGTTTGTTAATGGTGCACCCATCACCCAGTAAATCTATCCACCTTTGTGCTAGTCATTCTCTTTTCCCCTTCCTTCCATCTTTCCCAACCTTCTTTAGAAAGCAAGGTCTTTGCCTAATGTGTGTGATGTGGGATGATTTTAGTGCCTCTAGTGAGGCCTTTGGGATGTTTTGTCTGCAATACCGTACCATAGTAGATCTGATATTTTGTCTTATGTGTTTGTTTGGAGTATATAGGATTAGTTCTTGTTTCATAGAACATTCACATTGGTTTGGTTGATATAATAGGATTGGCTACCATATCTGGCTGGAAAATATCGAGAGGACTAATAGATGCCTGCAAATATTTATAGAAAACTCTAACATCTTTGTTGCAATCCTGTGCATTTCTGGATTTTTGCAGCCCAGATCTGACAGTCTAAATAATACCACTTAAAGAATTAAGGAGTGCATTGATATGAGCTTCACTACAACACTTAGATGCAGTTGAAGTATTTCTGAGGGCCTTGTGTTAGTCAACTGCTTAAGTATTTTAATAAGTATGAGTGCGAAGTGTGCTCTTGCATCTGGTTTGATAATCTCTAAAAATATTCTGGTTTTAAATTTACAAGAACATTGCATTTCTTAAAAGATTACAAGATGATGATGTTTTCTGAAGTACATGTCCAAGTTGAAATTCTTGGGATGTTTCTAGGAATGCATAAAATAAGTTGCAATTTTCAGACTTTTCTCCTGTACAATCAGTACTGACAATGCTGAGAATAGTTGATCTTTGAAAGTAATTTTCAAATCAGGAACATGTTATTTATTATTTCTATTTTATTGTTTTTATTGTAATAATACAGATTGGCCAGGAGCTACAGCAGAAATATACAATTTCTTTTAAAACCCAAATCCCAATACAAGGCTAGAAATACAATATTATTCTATGTAAATATTTTAGACTTGGACAATTATGGACTAAATTGGCATTTTTAAATTTTGGGAATAACCTGATTTTAGCAGAATCAGGATGTCTTCTTCATTTAAAATTCATTGCAAAATTTAAGATTTAACAATAATTTCTGTATAACATTTAACTGAATTAAATTGATTTTACAAAGAGCTAAAACATTAATCTAAAGTGCTACTTTAGCCATAACCCAGAATTTGAATAGTGACTAGATTCACTTGTGCTGCATTTTGGAAAAAACTCTTCATTCATTCATTCCAAATATTTTGTTTCTCTTAGTTTGAAAAAGAACATATGCAAATACAAAATAATCTTTTTTGTAAAAACTATTAGTTGGAAGAAACCGTAATTTTAACAAGCTCCTTTAAAATTACATATCTAAGGTAAACTGAAAATTGTATGTATTCTATGCCTGACATTTTAGATGAGTACAAAATGTATCACCAGCTTGCACGTCCTGTTTCTTTTGTATATACATATCAGTACTGTACTGTATTAGCACAGTTTGATCCTCAAGTTATTGCCATTATATAATCTTGTTAGCATTTATTACTTTCTGAACATTTTCATTAAAATGTGTGGTTGTTGGGTTTTGGTTTTTTTTTGGTATTGCTTTAACAAAACTATTTGGTAAAAATATAAATGAGATTATTTTATTACACACTCTACCACTGAAAATGCAGTAACACTGTATATCAATAGTAGCTTTCTGAGCTTTTATCTTTCCTAGAATAAATATTCATAGCAGTAGACTTAGCAGTAGACTTATATACCGCTTCATAGGCCTTTCAGGCCTCTCTAAGCGGTTTACAGAGAGTCAGCATATTGCCCCCAANTGAAAGAAAAAAAGGAAAAAGGGACAGAGAGACAAAAGGAAGGAGAGAGAGAGAGGGAGGGAGGGAGGGAACACATGGCCAGCAAGCCACTCCCACCAGGTCACATAGCCTCCCACAAAGGAGGCCACACCCACAGAGTAGGTTCGAAAAAAAATTGAAACCCACCACTGTGTAAAAGGCAATGCTTTATTCAACACATCAACTGAGAATGAAGAAGATGAGTAGCGGGAAGTTGAGTAGCATATAAATTTAATAAACTATTATGTTTTGATACACAATCAGCCAGATGTTTGGATAGGATTTGGCATTCTGTTCCACCTCTCGAATGGGATAGGCAGAGATTGTTGTTTGATGGTATCATTGCAGGACGTAAGCTGTTCCAGGTGGTGGAATTCACAAATGCTGATTTTTGTCAATGCTGATGAGGTTGAAGAGGTGCTCTAGATTTTTTGGGATTGCAAAAAAAGGCACCTATTGGTACTACCTTTGTTTTCTTTTGCCACAATTGTTCTATTTCTGTTGGCAGGTCTTTGCATTTTATTATGTTTTCTTAGTTCCTTCTCTTCTATTCTGCTGTCTCCAGGTACTGCCACATCCACTATCCAGACTTTTAGTCATTATTATCGATAAATGTTAAATCTGGGATGGTGTGTGGGAAGTGCTTGTCTGTTTGAATCCTAGAGCGCTTTGGCTTTTATTTATCTACTTATTTACTTACCTTACTTACTTAACTTATTTTACCTACTTACTTAATTTACTTACTTATTTTCTCTGCCCAGAATATGATGCACCATGCCAGAGGTGGGTTCCTACCAGTTTGCACCTATTCGTCAAATCTACCGAACCGGTTAGAAGAAGTTCCACCAGTGGACCTGGAAAGCAGGCCACACCTACAGAGGAGGTTCCAAAAATTTTTGAAACCCACCACTGGTCCTTGGATATGATTATTCTANGGGGAAACTAAAACAGGGAGAAGGGCAATAACCAGGAAGCTTAGAATAGAACATGAATAGTTCAACAGTTTTACTATGAATGGCTGCTGATGTTCAGTCATTCTGTTGCTTATTTGTGTATTCATGATCAGGTAGAAGTCCTTTCACCAAAATTGCTTTTTTGAGTTCTTCTAACTTCATGTTTGTGATACGTATATGCTGTCCAACCATCTTCATCTGGTCTCTTTTCTAAGGCTGCTGATACTAATAGGAGATCTTCATGGTAGAAGAAGAATCCTGTATAAAGTCCAACTGCGCCTTTCTTGTTTTGCTCTGCACTTGTTTACTTCATTCAACTGTCCTAACTTCATTTTTAAAAAAATATATAGCTGTGAAATTGCCCAATTGTGAAGTGGTACCGTTTTTGCACAGAATATTTGGGACCTCATTCTGTGTTTCTTCTCATTCAGCCATTTTACATCTTGCAGAAAAAGTTTGTTTACTTGTGTTTTATGGCTGCACCTGGAGATAGAGATAGGCCTGTCCATTACATATTTTTGAGCTTCTAATTTAATGGAAAAACTCTTGAATTCTGTATTGATTGTTGGGATAATGTTTTTCTGAGCCTAGAAGATGTTAGCTGCATCGCTACATTAAGGCTAGGATAATTCAAGGTGTTTTTTTCCCCTACTTCTCCAGATCAATAACTGGCTATTGACCACACAAAACCCCAATGCCCTCATTGCGCTCAGGATGGACTTGATCCGTATCGTCTGCAGCCATGAACATTATGTCACCCTAAATCTTCCCTGCAGTGGCCTCTCCCCTCCTGCTTCCCCTTCTCCCTCCGTCTCATCAGCAACGTCCCAGGTAGGTAGAACAGCGTGAAATAAAAGGATGAGAGACAAGAGTTTGTTGTTGAAAGTCAGGTTCTCCCCTTCAGTGCACTCATCAGAAGTCTCACTGAGAAGTTGCCACTCTCATTACTAAGGAGGTTCCAGTTAGCTGCCAGGTTTTAGGATTTGGATGGATCTGTGAATTTTTCCACTGCTTAAAATAATAGTGAGGTAAGGGGTGATGGTGGAAAAAGACAAGTGGCTCAGGGAAAATTTGCCAGAAAAATAGGCCTTTGGGAAATATATAAAAATGGGATATAGCAATAGCAGTTAGACTTATATACCGCTTCATAGGGCTTTCAGCCCTCTCT